GAGATAGAAACATCAATGATGAGAAAGAATCATTGATCGGCTGCCTCCTGCATGCTCCCCACTGGGGACCAAGCCCGCAAACTGGGCATGTGCCCTTGACCAGAATCGAATCTGGGACCTTTTGGTCCGCAGGTTGACGTTCTACCCACTGAGCCAAACCAGCTAGGGCAATACCTTCAGTTTTTATAGAGCTTTGTGGATTTCAGAATTATGGACTCATGTCAGGACTTGAAGCTGGCTTGTTCCATTGCTTGACCATGTTTCCCAACAACTGTGACAGTCTAGAATGGCAGCAGAAAGGCATAGCCACAAGGCAAGATTCTGGCTGCTCATGGAGGTAAAAGAAGCAAAAAAAGCAGTGGTGGGATTCCTTGAACAGGGAAGGGTGCAGTCCTGGAGGTCAGCTGTAGAACAAGGAGCATTTCCTTAGAAGTGAGGGAGTGCCTGGGGAGGAGGAAGTGCTGGTGACTAAGACTAGAGAGGCCTTGGCCATGGGGCAAGGCGCAAACTACCACAAAGCACAGGTCAGAAGCTCCCATGTTCATTTCACATCTACCCCGAGAAGCTCTGCATGTCCAGGATGAGGCCACCACAGGAGCCCCTGCTGGGCCTTCTGAGACCCTGGGAGAGAGGAAAGAGGGTGGAAGACTCCGAAGCAGCCTGCTGTGGAAGGAGAATGAGCACAACCTTGTTGATTTAGTAGAAGGCCCAGGGCAGTGGGGCCCATCCTCCTTCCTGTTCCTGTCAAGTGTGGTTTGCTGTCAAGTGGTAGCAAGTTCAGCCACAGTCAGGGGAGGTAGAAGGGAGAGGCCTCCAAAGAACGAGGGGCCCCTGCAGTGGGCGCCCTGAATCTGGAAGGTCATTTGCTGGAGCCCTTTCAGCTGGGGAGCAGACTGAATGGTGGGGACTGGGCTTCTGAGTGGTGCAAGGCATGCTGGGAAGTGTGGGTTTTAATTGGCAGTTGGGCAGTTTAGCCACAAGCCGAGGGCAGGGTGGGGTCGGTAGAGGGGGGAGGCTGGTAAGATGGAAACAGGGTGGAGTGATCTTCTTTTTTCTCAGATCAGGAAGCCAAAAGAAGATTGACCTATCAGACCTATTAGCAGCCTAGCAATGAGTTCAAAGGCTGCATTTAGACCTTTCACCACTTCTCCCTGTAGTTACCAAGATTAGTGGAACCAATGATGCATTTCTGTACACATCTTGAAAATTCCCTCCTACGGGAACCTCCACTTCTCTGCCAGGTTATTGTCACTTCCCACTTGGGAATTTCACTGAAAATTCACCTCCCAAAGCAGCCCCAATTAATCTCATCCTATTCAACTTATTACCTTTAATTATGTAAAATGCCACCTAACTCTTTCAGAAATCAGATTTCTGGCAACTATAATTACCCAGAACGCATCAGAAAGCTGTCTCAAAGCCCACGCACCTCATTCATGGGATGGGCTGAGTCACCTTCCACCTCTACCTAGAGTAATAATATTTAGAGCTGTGAGAACAAGGGGTGATAGCAGGGAAAGTAAGAAAAAAAGAAACATGTAAATATACGAAGACAGGCTCTTGTAACTGTTTTTGTTTTTTTTTTTAGTTCTTCCTGACAGCTTGTGTTGCCTTTTAATATACAGCAGACAGCCCTGCATGGGTCTATAGCCCATGAGCACTTGTGTACCAGTGGGGACCCTCGAATTGGTGCATGATTGGGGCCTGGGAGGAACCACAGAAGGGCTCCAGGGCGTATCTGGCCCATCTCACTCAGTCCTGATCAGCCGGACTCCAGCAGCAAGCTAACCTACTGGTCGGAGCATCTGCCCCCTGGTGGTCAGTACACATCATACTACCAGTCCAAAGGTTGCTTAGGCTTTTATATAGAGAGATTTCTATAACTCAATAGTAAAAAGACAAATAACCCAATTTTAAAAAAATGGGCTTAGGTCAGTGATGGCGAACCTATGACACGCATGTCAGAGGTGACACACGAACTCATTTTTTTGGTTGATTTTTCTTTGTTAAATGGCATTTAAATATGTAAAATAAATATCAAAAATATAAGTCTTTGTTTTACTATGGTTGCAAATATCAAAAAATTTCTATATGTGACACGGCACCAGAGTTAAGTTAGGGTTTTTCAAAATGCTGACACGCCGAGCTCAAAAGGTTCGCCATCACTCTACTAAGTGCCAGAATGACATAGCATTTTCACCATTTTTATTGTTGAATTTGTGTAGTTTCTATTTGTAGCTGTTGTTTCATGTATATACATTTAGATTTTCAAAGTAAAAACATTTCACTGCTGTTGAACTCCCTTTAACATCTGTTTAAATTTTTTTAATGTTTACATTTAAAAAAAAGATATGTGGAGAGCTTTTGCTATTTTATTCTTTTAAAAACAACTAGAAGACCACTTAACTTCTCCAGGCCTATTAAGTGTCTTAAATCACAAGGACCTCTGTTTGCCTAAAAGTTATAGATTTTTTACTTAAAATACAATTATCCTGAATCCTATGTTGGAGATTATTCCTAAGGAGATTATTAATATAAATTAAATAATATTCATATATTATAATATACTAGAGGCCTGGTGCACACATTCGTGCATGAGTGGGGTCCCTTGGCCTGGCTGGAGATCCAGGCCTATTGGTGGGGGCTGGCTGGCTTGGGGGAGAGGCCGCCAGAGGTTGGCTGGATGAGGGGAGGGGCGGGGCCGCAGGAGGTTGGCCAGTTGGGGGGAAGGGCCAGGAAGGTTGGCTGTGGGAGCACCCTGACCACCAGGGGGGAGCTCGTGCATTGAGCATCTGCCCCCTAGTGGTCAGTGCTCTGGTCGACTGGTTGTTCCAGTCATTCCAGTTGTTTGGTTGTAATGGTTGCTTTGGATTTTATATATATAGACTAGAGGCCTGGTGCACGAAATTCATGCACCGGGACGAAGGTCCCTCAGCTCAGCCTGCACCCTCTCGCAATCTGGGACCCTTGGGGGATGTCCAACTGCTGGTTTAGGCCCAATTCTGCAGGGATCTCTGTGAGATCAGGCCTAAACTGGCAGTCGGACATCCCTCTCGCAATCTGGGACTACTGGCTCCTAACCACTCACCTGCCTGCCTGCCTTATCACCCCTAACCACCCCTGCCTGCCTGATCGCTCCTAACCACTTGCATGCCTGCCTTATCACCCCTAGCCACTCGCCTGCCTGCCTGATCGCCCTAACTGCTCACATCCTACCTGATCACCCCTAACCACCTCTGCTGCCTGCCTCATTGCCCCTAAACACTCTGCCTGCCTGATCACCCTTAACTGCTCTCCTGCCTGCCTGATCATCCCTAACTGCCTCTACCTGCCTGCCTGATTGCCCCTAACTGCTCACCTGCCTGCCTGATCACCCCTAACCACCCCTGCCTGCCTGCCTGATTGCCCCTAACCACTTGCATGCCTGCCTCATCACCCCTAGCCACTTGCCTGCCTGCCTGATTGCCTCTAACCACTCTGCCTGCCTGATCTCCCCTAACTGCTCACCTGCTTGCCCGATCGCCCCTAACTGCTCACATCCTGCCTGATCTCCCCTAACCACCTCTGCTGCCTGCCTGATTGCCCCTAACTGCTCACCTGCCTGCCTGATTGCCCCTAACCACTCTACCTGCCTGCCTGATTGCCCCTAACTGCTCACCTGCCTGCCTGATCAACCCTAACCACCTCTGTCTTGGACCCCAGCCCCACAACAGCTTCATCCAGAAGGATG